ATTTTGTCCTGCTTTGGCTAAAAAAAAGGGCTTCTTCAGGAAAGGTCCTATTGAAAGACATCGACTGTTTCAAATGTCTATGGAGATGCTCAGTCATCCAGATCATGGGGCTTGTTTCCCCCTCAAGAGGCAACTGGACTTTCTTGTTTTTCTTTGAAGACGTTTCGGCTTCTCATCCAAGAAGCATCTCTGATTGGATAGTGGGGAATGGAAGGATTTATACTCCTTGACTGGATGACCAATCACACTTGGCCAACAAAGAATTCTAATCTAAAGCCATCTTGAAATTCTCCCATTTCCCACCATCCGATCAGAACTGAAGAAAGTTCTTGGCTGAGAAGTGAAAAGGCTTCAAAGAAAAACAAGAAAGCCCAGTTGTCTCTTGGGGAATAAAGCACCTTTGGGATGATTGGCTTTGGCAGTTAAATGGAACCTTCCTGCATTAGAAGCAGTATACAGGTTGTCCTCCGCTTACAACCGCACTCGAGCCTCAAATTTATGTTGCTAGGTGAGAAGTTTGTTAAGTGAGTTTTGCCCCATTTTATGACTTTGTCACATTTGTTAAGTGAATCACCGCAGTTCTTACGTTAGTAACAGGGTTGTTAGGTGAATCTGCTTTCCCCGTTGACTTTGCTTGCCAGAAGAAAGTCGCAGAAGGGGCTCTGGGATACTGCAATTGTCACAAATGTGAGTCAGCTGTCAGACAGTTGAATGTTAATCACGACCACGGGGATGCGGCAACAGCCATAACTGTGAAAAAGGGTCATAATTCACTTTTTTTCAGTGCCGTTATAAAGAGCTATAAGTAGCTCTTTTAGATTGAACAGTCACTAAATGAACTACTGTAAGTCGAGAACTACCTGTATTTGGATGCCAGCTTTTAGGGACAACAAGAGGGGAAGATGGGTTCTTTTGTATTATACTTGCAGACTTCAAGGATCATTTGCCTAGCAGCGGTAACAAATAACATTTGGGCTAGACAAATGTTTGGATTGTCTAAACACAGCAGTTTTCATGTTCTTAGAACATGAGGCAGGAAGGGAGCTTGCAGAAAACTTTTAGAATTAAACCCTTTTGAAGCTTGTCTATGTTCTGAATATTTGAAATGTCAGCGTTAGGATTTGAAATGGGAAATAACACATCACATCATGCAGGTGTTCAAAGCATCCCATGTACTATAGTAGTATCTACACTTCTAATATAAGGTTATGTGTTGTTTTAACCCCAAACTTCAAAAGAAGCAGAACTTCAAAGAAGAGGGCTTTGAGACAGATTATTGACTTGAAGTAGATATTTCCTAACAAGAACAACTGTCATAAATTGGAGATGTCCTAGATACATTGTATAACCCCACCACTGCTATATATGCTCTTTCAATAACTGAAAGACATGTAAACATGCAATTTATGTATAAAAATAATCCTGTTCTCTAAACTTTATGCAACAAGAGATTTATGACTTAAAAAAAACAAGTGTAGGGTATCATATGCCAGGATTCATGGGTGAGCCTAACGTAGCTCTTTAGATTGCACCAGACAGTGTACAGAATGATAGAATACAGGTAGTCAATAGCGTCATTAAATTCCAATAAATTGAATTAGCATATTAAAAAAATGATGAGTCAGTTTTGAAATGAACATAATAAAATCCCTTGAACTTGACAGGATTTGAAACAAAATGTGCTACAAGCATTATTTTTTAAAGTCCCCCAAAGCCAAGTTGAGAATCTTCTAGCTTTTATCATATATTAAAACGTGCCTTCTGGATAACCTGAAATCCAAATAAAACTATGAATTTTATTTTTTCTCTCCAACTTCAATTGTATTTTTTAAAGACCATCAGATTTATAATTTTTTTCATTCAAAATGTTTAATGAGGACTGAGTAGGTTTGAAGAAAAACTTTGAGCCCTGTTAGATCATTGCAAACCAGTCCATGAAGGAATTCAAGTAGTAAAGAATCTTTTGAATTATTAAATATAGGTAATGTTTGACTTTGAGGACTATAAAATACAGTAGTTGTCATACATATATTTAAAAAGTTTTATTTAGGAATCAATTCTAGCAGAAATATTCCTTTTTCCTTTTTTAAGATGAATTCAACACTGGGTGGGCCATAGCTTCATGGTGGAATTTCTCCAATCCTTATGTGTAACATGACAAAAAGCAAGTCCCGTATATTCAACATCTTCCACCTCTAATAGAGACTTTAAATTTTTTTGAAATGAGTAAAGAGTAACTGTTAATCGTATTTGGGAAAGTAACCAAGATGAATGGTGGTCTAATCTATATAAATCAAATTTCTATCCATTATCTCTGCATATTATACCTCTTCTAAAGTATCTCTAAAATGAGGTTTTTTACTTTCAGGGCCATAAAAATCTGGATGACGAGTAGATGGCAGTGAAATTTTAGTGTTTTGTGTATTTCTTTGCTTCCCTCTGTATTTCTATAAAGGCTGTGGTGTTGAGATTTGCTGTAAAAGGGAGCAATCTTTACCTTGCTTTCAGTTTTTAGCAAGCAAGATCTTCTCTGTTTCATTCTTGAACATAAGAGGGTACATCTGTCTAGTTGTTAGGTGCAAGAGTGGAGAAGTTTCATTTCTTTCAAAACCAGCCCTCTTTGGTATGTGTAGGTTAGAATAAATCTTTTTTATCTGCATCAGGATGAGAAATAATAAATTGATCAATGAGTAGACAAATAGGTGTATCTCAGATCTTCATCCAAGTAACTGCAATGGAAATCTTCGGAAACTGCTCTATAATTTCTCTATCCTTTCAGTACATTGAATATTTTGAGAGCCAGGGCATTCTCTCATTAAGTTCAGTATGGACAAAAAACAGTAACATGATGTTGTCTAATCAAACTAATTGCTATAAGTAATATGTGAAGAAGTTGAAGAGGATTTCTGAGTTATGTGACTCCATTTGCTAAAATCCTTCAAAGCAAGTGAATTAAAGAGTAGTGCTTTATCTAGAAAAATAAACATTTTATTTTAGAAAATAAAAATGATGAATGGTTAGAGACCAGTAGCTTGGTTAGAAATCTCTTGGAGAAAAAAAGATATATATAAGCAAGAGTGGTAAAGAATACCCTTCAGGGAGGCTACATGGAAAGGAAGGAAGCATTCAGATATAATTTGTGATTGATCATATTGTTTATTGCAGCCATTTTATGAATTACCCAAACTTTCCCTTGTCGGACATTTGTGAAAGCATCAGTGGCAATCTTGTCAAAAATATATGTATGTTCTCTAATCAACAAAATTGGGACGCTTGTCTTACCTAAGGACACATTTCAGTCATAGTTACAGTATGTTATTCTGAAAGTACACAGTATTTTTTCATTTGTGTGTGAAATTAAATTCAGCTTTCTTAGTTGTTTTGTTTTATTGCATAAATACAATTAATTTGTTTTGACAGTTTAATTTCTAAATCAGCACAGCTAGATATATAATTGCCATAAAAATCACATTAAAAAACCACATTTTACTTATACCGACATACAATTTATTTTATTTGATTCTGAAATAAAATATTTCCACATTTTAAAAACTGCCAATTGCTTTTTCAGGATGAAGAAACTCGTAAGGATTATGATTATATGCTGGATCATCCTGAGGAGTATTACAGCCATTACTATCACTATTATTCTAGAAGATTGGCACCCAAGGTGGATGTCAGAATTGTGATTCTTGTCACTGTTTGTGCCATTTCTATATTTCAGGTAAGTACTGCATGCTTATATCCTACCTGTTCCGGTATTCTCCACTAGTTTGGACATTCTGTGGTATTGGATCCAGAATTCCACTTGGTTTGGAGGGCGGAGGTGAGGAAAATTCCTTCTCTCTACAGCCCATTGTATGGGGAGCCTGCATGGGGAAGAGGCAATTGATTACTTCTCCCTTCGTGCTACAGCTCAGTCGGCCAAGGTAAATATGCTAAGTGTTTTTCTTCCTAAATGTAAACAGTAAGCAATAAAACTTGTAAAGTTTTAAATATTGTTCTTGTGCTGAGACACAGTGCATACAGGTAGTCCTCACTTTACAAGAGTTCATTCAGTGACCATTAGAAATTCCAACAGCAATGAAACAAGTGACTTAGGACTTAGCATCCCAGATGTTTGGCAACTTTATTTATGGTTGTCACGTGTTCTGGGGGGTGTCATATGATCACTTTTTGCAACCTTCCAAATAGCAAAGTCAACAGAGAAGCCAAATTAACAACTGTGTCACTAATTTAACAACTGCAGTGATTCACTTAACAATTGTGACAAGAAAGGTTGTTAAAAAAATGGCCCAAAATTCACTTAACTATTTCACTTAGCAACAGAAATTTTGGGCTTAATTCTGGTTGCTAGTTGAGAACTATCTGTAATTTGGTATGTAGACTCGCCACATATTGGGAATTGTGTCATTTATTAATATTGAACTTATGTATCATGATTCATAAAGCCACAGATCACTCTACATATTTCTTTGTTTTTTGTCATGACATGATTATGCATAAAAGTAGGCATACAGGTAATCCTCACATAATGACTACAATTCAGCCTGGGGAGGACTATCTGTCCATTTTGAGCAAAAAGTCTGTGATAAAAACACAAGCAAGTAGCACATGAAAATAATGCATTTGATTTCCTTAATTAATTACCTTTATTGTCAGAGTACAACATGGGTACAATGAGATTGGCTGAGCCTCCCTTTGTGCAACCCCACATACACACACACAAAACTCACAGTGAAGACAGAAGTTAAAAATTGCATGTCGTGACTCATACGTTTGAATACACAGGAGCTGCAGAATTTCAGAAAAGATAAAATAAACAAGGTTGTACTTATGCAGGAAAAAGAACACACTCAACAGAGTGAATTTTATATTTAGACCAAGTAGTATGGGAAAAATAAAGGTTAAAGGGTTCTCAAAAGTTAAAACTGTATATAAATTTCAGCTTGCATTTCATGTTTTAGTTCTTCAGCTGGCGGACTAGCTACAACGAAGCTATCAACTACCTAGCAACTATGCCAAAATATCGAATACAAGCAACTGAGATTGCTAGGCAACAAGGGCTATTGAACAGAGCCAAAGAAAAGGGCAAAAGCAGACGATCGAAGGAAGAAATCCGCAAAGAAGAAGAAGAAATAATCAAAGATGTAATAAAAAACAAAATAGATATCAAGGGTGGCTACCAGAAACCCCGAATCTCTGACATTCTCTTGTTTCAAATAATTTTAGCACCTCTTTATCTGTACAAATACATAAAATGGTATTTTTGTTGGATTTATCGTTTCAATATCAAAAGGCAAGAGTATGGCGAAGAAGAGAAATTGTACATTATACGCAAAAATATGAAAATGTCACAATCCCAATTTGACACTTTGGAAGACCATCAGAGAGAGTCATTTCTTGACCAGCAGCTTTGGATAAAAGAAAAGTACGAGGTGAGTGATGGTGGCACCAGAGAAGTAACTCCCCTCTCCCCCCATAATCTAGGCCTATTGAATAACTAAAAAGATGATTTTCACAATCTTATAGCATTGGCCTCATTCAGCAAATCCTAAGTAATTATTAATAGATTTATACTGAGATCACAGGGTTAATGTTTTATCATCCACAGTGCAACTGTTATCTGGGCTTGACAGTTAAGGTGCAACAGATAGTCTCCTACTTTTCATTGGTGTGGATTTTGTGAAGCATATAACTTTCTCTTTAAATAATACATAATAAATGCCTAGACACTATAGTCTCATAAGATAAGTTTTTGTTCGTTTCTATAATGTCTACTTCAGGGGTATCAAACTGAATTTCTTCGAGGGCTGGATCAGCATTGCAGTTCTCCGTGAGCCAGTGGGGGCAGGGGGAAGAACGAACGTCTCCTGCAGCACCCTGCTGGCCAAAATGGGGCACAGGGTGGCTGCACACGGCCCCCTATGCCCCATTTTCAGCCTGGACAGCCTCCTGCAGCACTTTGCTGGCCAAAATGGGGTGCGGGAGGGGGGTCATGTGCAGCCCCCACATCTCATTTTCGGCCTCCATGGCTTCTGCGCATCCTGTTTTTGGCCGGCAGAGTGCTACTGGAAGCTGGGTAGGCCGAAAATGCGCCTCATGAGGGCTTGCGAGGCCCCCACATGGCCTGTTTTGGCTGGCAGAGGTACTGCGTGCCAGTCCTTTGATATTTCCAGGCCAGCCCAGCAGGCCAGCTTTAAGCACTCCGCAAGCTGGATTTGGCCCGTGGGCCTTGAGTTTGACACCCCTGGTCTAGTTAATAGATTTCTAATGGATATATTTATTCATGTGTTAAAAAGCTGTTTGTTCTGCTTACTGCTATTCACTATTTATAAAAACAAGATGGTAGTTCAGGAAGCAGAGTTCTAGAACCAGTTCTTCAGTTACAATTATGTAATTCACAATAATCTGATTTGAAATATTATAGGGATGAGTCTGCATTTGAAAGTGATGAAATTTGCAATGAGTTTGTGTAGGTATCTAATGAAGACTGATGTAGTTTTCGTTCAACCTTCCCTTTTTAGCTTTACAAACAAGAGCAAGAGGAGGAGCTGAAGAAAAAAATGGCAATGGATCCTCGATGGAAAAGATACCGGCGATGGATGAGGAATGAAGGGCCCGGAAGATTGACATTTATTGATGATTGACATGCGCGAAACATGTACAATCATGTCATAGATGATTGACAGGATTATTCATATCTAAAATGTTCAGAGTTTAACTGCTGTGTTTCAGTGGTGTCCTAAAACTCAGGAATTAATCAGGGAGAAAACTAGTAACATTTTATGATTTTATATATGTGTATACAAATAAAAGTAAATATGTTAATTATACGTAATGTTTTTCACTCTTGGTGTGCTATGGAATTAAAACTCTCTGAGGCAGATGCATTAATTCCTTTATATTGCTATAATATATATTATATAATATATATTATATATTATATATTACAATTTGTTTAGGGACCAAAGTTACAATGGCAGTGAAAAAGTGAAAATTGCAGCCTCCCCATGGTCACATGATTAAAATTCAGATGCTTGGCAACTGGTTCATATTTATGATGGTTGTCCTAGGGTTATGTGATCATCTTTTGGGACCTTCTGAAAGCAAATTCAAAGGGATGCTAGATTCACTTTACAACTGTGTTACCAACTTAACAATTGCAGTGATTCACTTTACAGCTGTGTAAGGTAAAATGGGACAAAACTCATTAGACTGTCTCGCTTAGCAATGGAAATTTTGAGCTCAGTTGTGGTCATAAGTTGAGGACTACCGGTAATCATGTAGGTATAATCTACAAATACTGAATTTTAGGTATTGAACAAATCTTGGAAGGTTTTTTAACATGCCATGAAGCAATTATCTTTGCTTTTCTTCTCTATAAACTTTTTTTTTTGAAAACATTTCTATAGCCAGCCTCCTTAAAGTTGAGCTCTGGTTGGCTTACAATCAAAAAATAAACAATATTTATAGCAATAAAAACACAAGAAACAGTAAAACCTAAAAAAAGAAAAATCTGGTTCCATGGCTACACTTCTCTGATGTCACTCACTTCAGTCTCATTCCACTTTGACTTCACCCTATGCCAGCACTTGGAGGAGTAATCCTGTTGTGAAAGTCACCTTTACTTATATATCAGGAAAAACAATATTTTTTAAAGGTTGAAAACAATAGCAGGTTGGTTGTATCATTGCCTGAGCTGGTAAAGACAGATTTCCAGTAAGAGTAGGAATAGTACTTTTGGCAAGCACCTGCTAAAATTCCAAAGCATTAGATAGTAAAATGTACAATTGCAACAGTCAGAATTATTTCAACAAATTGTGTAAAGCTACATCAGACAACTTAAAATGTTAATGGAGTATGCCTTATCTCTTCTATAGTCCTGAAGTTTTTCAAAATCTTAATGTACTAGTACTCTGAAACAGGTAGATTTCTATTGCTGAAAAAATATTTAACTTTTAAACTTCTTTTATTAACAACTGGTATGCAATTTGGCTGATGATAAACTACCTTATATTGTTTAAATTACGGTTCCTTTGGATGAAATTACAAATATACCAATAAGTATTAAAATAAGAGCATTCGAAAAAAGCAGATATTAAGCCCTGGAAACCAAAATGCATTAGCTGTCATGTACAGAGCCTTTATATTTATTCATTAGGGAAAGCTCCATTGTGACTAGCGAGATGTGAATTTATGTAGTGTAAAACAATCCATCTGTGCTGCTTTGGGAGCATTTCTCCAGATAAATGCTCATAAAGACTATTTAAGCTGAAAAAAATCTGAAAGAGCATAATTTCTAATGTAAACAGACCAAAATCAGGATCATTATCACCTTATATCCCCATTCCCCCTCCTGATGTCTAGCTGTATTTAATGACAACTCTTATACCCAGGTAGGCACACTTTATTTTTATTTTTTTAATGAAGCTGCTGGGAAGGAGTACAAAGGGAATATGGGCAGTGTAACTTTTAATCCCATTACGCAGATAGAACCAAGAAATCCACTCCAAAGGAAGGCTGAGCCTGCTTTTATAGAGAGAAGTTACACTAATAGAATTTTGCAAGTCTTCCTCCTCCCTCTCCTCTCCTCTCCCCCTCTCCTCCTCCAACTTTCACTAAATCAGAGTGATCAACCTGAGCTTTACAGTATGTTACCTCGGTGGCTCCCAAACTTTTGGGCACCAGGGCCTGGTTCTATGGAGAAAAGGTTTTTCCACAGACTGGAGGGGGCGTGGTTTAGCATGCTGCCTGCATCCAGCGGATGGGGCTTCGCTTATTTGCATGGCCTGGTCCAGTCCATGGATCGAGGATTGGGGTAACCTTGTTTCTCCAGACTAAAAAATTGATGTTTTGCTTCTCAGCCAAGTGGCAGACAAAAACATATTAGACTTGGAGGAGCTTGAGAGATCTTTCCTTAGCATTTGAGTGATTCTCAGATCAGATGAGGATTTCCTCAAAAATAAACATGTACCCTTAAGTACTTTACAGTAAAATGTTTTCCTGTTATGCATTGTTTTTGGAGTGTTTCCCTAATTACATACCTTGCTTTGTGAACTCGCAAGGCGTTTTTACCACCTTAAACCTACAGTGTATGGAACAGAAGACTTTTTCCATTCAGTAAGGCTTGACACTAGAGTAATGAGTAATTTTACAACCTCAAAGCCATAATTTATTAATGTTATTTTGCTCAGAAGTGTAAAATGGGTGCTTCGAGAACCTGGGCATCACAAGCCCTGAGCAACTCTATTTAAACCAGGAATTTCAACTGCTGTCGGAATACTAAGATGGAATCTAGAAGTTTGGGAAGGCCGGAAATGGGCCTGTTTCAGGCTTTCCAGAGAGCCTCCGGAGCCTGGGGAAGCAATTTTCACCCTCCTAGCAGCTCAAGGAAAGCCTCAGGAGCCCGGGGAAGGCAAATATGTGCCCCCGCCATCGTACAGGAGGCCGGCTAGGCCACACTCATCATGGCCACGGCCACCCAGCAACCGGGCAGAGAACCCATCGCTCCAATTTTTGAAGCCCACCCCTGAACATATTCCTCTATATACACATGGGCATGTGATGGTGACTCTTCTTGCCTGGTTGTGAAGCTCGGGAAGATGGTCCTGGATTATTCATGGCCTTGCTAGAAGGAAAGGTTTTTTTGGAACGAAGTCTTTCCTGTGCTTGGATCTTCCAATAATCTATTCTGCTTCAAACCTCATATTCAGAATAGTTTTGCAATGACGGTTCTGCTGAGGAAGAAAAATTCACAATATACATAAGGTGAATGATAAATGCTGTAGTCTTCTGTAACTTAAGAATTCAAACAGGCAGGCACAAACACACAACCCAGGTGTCAAAAAGACAAAATTGTTAATAAGAAAAAAAAAAGTCTTGTGTAGTAGATGTCAGGTTTCCAAGTGATGAAATCCATTTTAAAAAGAAAAGAGCAAAGTCCATCTTCCAAAACAATTCCTTTTATTTAGGAAAGCATCAAATTGGCAATCCATGGTAATTCCGGATCTAACGAAACCGGGAATTAACCCACAATATCAGAAGTTAGAAACAACCCCCCAAAATCACACTCTCCAATAGAAGTAATTCAACATTGTTTGATGTCATAAATCTCCACCTCAAGGAGCCTGAACACAGTCAGCTCATTTTCCCATGGAAAGAAGAATCACCTCTTCCTATCTCCACTCCTCCCCGCTTAGGAATGTGGCAAGCCAGAAAATCTTCCCCCATGACTACCAAAGAGAAAGTGAGAAAAAGAATATATACTAAGCCTAAGTAAAATAGCTACACATGTCAATTTCAGGCTTGACAGATGTAGTACTTGGAGACAGTAGAACAGAAGAGAAAGAACTGGAGAAAATAATAAAATACAAAGACCTGCAAATAGAACAATTATGGCAAAAGAAAACAAAAATAGTACCAATAATAGTTGGTGCCTTGGATACAATCTCCAAACATCTGGAGCATCAGATGCTCTGTCTGAACCATCTTGAACACTGTCTGCATTGACAAAATCACTATCAGTCAATTGCAAAAGGCAGTTTTACTTGGAACGCTTACATCCTGCAACAATATTTTTAAACACCATCAGACAATAACATCTGCCTATCTCCATGTCTTTAGGAAGGGCTAGTCAAATCCACTCTAAACATCTGGATAATTGCAATGCATTATAATAATAGCACATTTGGAACCAAAATGGAAATCTCGTTTTTCCTTCTCACTGCTCCAAGTGATTAGCTGAAAGAGGAACTTTGTACAGCTTTCAAGGTGAGAAACAGAAAAGGAGAGGAAACCTCTATTCTGCAATATGGGAAAGATTATTTTATGCCATATAAAAGAATGGGAACTGGACATTTTTCCTCTCGTTGCCCTATTGCATTAATAAGGCTTCTACCTTCATATACATTTGTTTTATTTATATTATTATGTAAAAAGAAAAGGAGAAACCAGGGGAACGACCATGAAATATGGTGGTAATGGGAATCCATCCATCCAGAGAGGAAATTCTCTGTCTCAGTACTAAATAACATAGCTTTACATGTCACAAAATTAAAGAGTTGTCACATAAGTAGCTTCTAATTACAGTTCTAGCTAATTCTTTGTGGCTTGTTTAGGATCTCATTTATGTCCTGCTTTAAAGAAATATTACACACCTATGTAACTCCTGAACTTACAAAGTTGTGTTTCTTAAGAAGCTACTTATGTCCTGCAAGCGTCATTTGTAACTGAGGAACAATAGACCATAGTTGCCTGCATTTCTGCTGTTTGGAAAAAGAAAGTCAAAACATTCCACTGACTATGCCCAAGGTACTGGAGAATGAAAAGCTTTTTGAAAAGATGCTTTGGATAACAGTTACTCTTTCTCAATGTTCCCTGACTCTAGAAATTCCACAAAATAGGCATCAATCTTGAAGGATGTTTTTTTAACCTCCAATTTTCTTTAAGCAGCAAATACAGAACTGTCAAAAATGTTTTTTTATCATGTTGCAGACTCTAGTTATTGTGAAATTGTCAGCTACATACAGTGCTTTGGTGTAAGGAATGCAAATGCAAAAGTAGAAAAAAAACAGTTACTTGGTGCAGACATGTAGTTTATTTAATTACTGTCTTTGTAGACAAAATATTTCTTAAATGAAAAGATGCAACAGATGCTAAGCATTATTGTTGCTTTTTGCTTCCCCCCCCCACATACCCAGTGGGGAAGAAGTAAAGTAAATATTATGGAAATGTTAGTGGCAGCCATACGGATAGAATATTCTCAAGGCTGTTAGTTGCAGTATCTTTGTAAAAATATTCCTTGAAAATGTAGGCAGAAAGGTCATTCTACAAA